AATAAATAAAAAATACACATTTACAATGCATAACTATTTCACAAATAACTTCCGAGCAGAAGCAACAAAAAGAAACACCACAAACAGGGTACAATACACACAACATATAGTCACAAGACTCACAACGCATGTAGCCACAAATAAAAAAGAGAACCCAAAAACTATTAAAAACAAAATTTCACAACCTCCATTAACAGCAATCGTTTTTTTTTTTTTNNNTGGGTTTTCATTCAATCACAACAGAAATCATCAATGATTCAATGATTAGTAAAACCAGACAAACCTTCTCATCCATCGCCTGTCACAACTTGGGCTCTGTTGACCGGACATTACTGGTGCTACCAGCCGTCCGGTTCGTCTCCCCCATTCTCGAAGCCAGCGCCAGAACCTCCGGTGACATTTCCCAGCTGCCACTCTTCCTCCCCCAGCTCGACCGCTTCGCGTGGTGGTGGATCCCCGCCCGATCACCCTCATCAACTGTTGTCCTTATCTCCGGTGACATCATCTCACCCATTCTACCTTCTTTCCCAACATCATTATCGCTCAATTGGGCCTCGGGCTGGTCCAAAACATGACCCACATCTCCCCACACAGCCTTTCGGCCCATCTCGATGTCGTCACCCGCTTTTCCCATGTTTGGGCTCACGAAGCCCACCGATCTCGCAGGCTCTCGAGGCACCATGGCCCGGAAGTCGTTTTTGGAAGGGGGAGTGGGCCCACAGAATATTTCCTTGAAGTTTTTGACCACACCTTTGTTGTACGGGTTGGCTCGCCGGTCGTATCTATATCTGAAGTTCTCGTAGGTCGTCTGCAAAAACGAGCCACATGTTCAGGGAAAATGATCGGGCATTTCTTTTAGGCATAATTTATCCTTATGAATTCAAATGTGTACTTGATGAATAATTGAGTATAACCTGATTTGTACTGATCAGATAAAGATGGAAAGCTGTAAGGCCACCGACGAACCAAACTGCGATGAAAGTGTAGATAATCAGAACAATGGAAGCAGGAGTCTTGATCATTGCCTTCCATATCGAAGTCTGCTCGGTGGCCATGATCCTTCTAATGTAGACCCAGCAGAAACCAAAAACGTATATGCATAGCAGAGTTGTTGAGAAGACGAACATGAAAAAGAATCGGTAGTTTCTCTGCGTAACCACAACAATGTGAATAAAGTCGGATGCTAATATAAATAGCAGTAAAACTGTGCAAAAGAACTATTTGCCCAACCATCTAAATCCACCTAAAATCTACAAAAATGTTCATGGTACGACATATTTTACCTTTGCAATTCTATGAATGAGAAAGGCGAAAAAAGGCCTCTGATATCTTTTTAAGTCTCGTCAACATCACAATTTAATACTTGACTGTTTAACTTTAATGGTGAAACCATGTTTTTAGGAAGCAAACATTTAATAGCCTTTTTGTTCTAACAGGAGTTGTAATAATACATAAGATAAGAAAGTTTTGTCCACTACCAATGCCAGTCCGAGTAAATTTATCTACTCAATGATATAGATCACCACTAAAGCAACTGTGCTGCAACAAGTGCTAATCGTTCATGACTCAATGAAAAACAAGTAAAAGTTTAAACACATCCACAACTCCAAACGAATTGGTGTTCCAAGCAATAGGAAATCATGCAAATATTCCCATTCAATAAATATTCTAAATTGTAACATAAAATCGCAAATAACCATATCCAAATTTACCAGTCTAGCTATCTAAAACCTTAGAGCAAAGCCAGAGTCAAATTCCTGTCAGGTTGATTATATAATATGCCTGTAAAGTTGTTCTGACACAAAAACCAACCTTAACAAAATGTCAAAACTAAGAAATATCAGCATGATAATTTCAGTACTCTCCAACTTACTGTTGTCATTTCAGTTCTGTCTCTCATTTCAGTACAATTTAATCACACATGTATCACATTGTGAATAACTTTAAAACATAAAAATAAAAAAAAAAACGAGATAATTAGGTCAACATCTCAATTAAATGAGATAGGAACTAGGACGCACGCCAGAACGCAAATTTTCAGATGCATGCAGTTATCTTACCAATCCTATGCATTGCCCAACCCAAGGGCAGTGGTGGTCAAATCTTTCAACACAGTTATTACATATCGAACAGTGTGAGCAGCGTGGGGGCCGATAAAGCATACACGTATCACAGTACTTAATTTTCACTGTGGTGCCATTAACTTCAACTTCCTTAATACGAGGCAAGCGCAATTGTGGAGTTTGAGCACCTTCCACCACATTCCCTTCGTAGCCTTCAGGTTCTGGCGGGTGTGCATTTCTAGGGATTATACCAGGATCTCTTCCAGAAGTTAACAAGAGAAGAATTAAGTCCTGAAAATTAAATTAAACAAAGTGAATAATGAACTCATGCATGACGGCTGCATTAGTTGATAACTGTTATTTGGCAACAGCCCTTTCTCCACAGATGTAGTGTCTATGAATGAAGTTATAATGTTATTTTGAAGAAAATAAATGAGGGGTTTCGGGACATCTCCTTGGAGATAGCCTTAAAGACAAAGATCAGACTTTTGGTCTACAATTTCCACTAAAACTTAAATCTCCCATTCTTACCGGCTGTACAGTTTCTGGATAAGCAAAATAATATACATAATATTTCAGAATAATAATTAAAAATTAAAAAAAAAAAAGAAAAAGGTATCAGTCTGCCTATCAAATAGACTCACTTCGTCCAGCCTCCAAGAAACAACAGGAATAACAAACAAATCGAGAAAGCCATCTATCTACTTCATAAAGTTGCACACGTGCATTCCTTTGAGAAAGCGGGGAGAACTTACATAAAACGTGAAAACAATTGCAATGACCATGATTGATGCTCCCCAGTTATCACTAAAATCATCCACTAGCTTCCTGGCAACGAAGGCACAAAAAACAGTGACTGGTGCCACAATCAGGATTATGGTGAGAGCCAGCGACCTTACATCTGGGCCAAAAACAAACCTTCCTTGAAGCAAAAATTTCTGTAACGAGAAAAGAAGTAAACAGTCAATATCACAATCAAGTATGACTAACTATTATATGAATCTTTGATCAGTGCTTCAGAGCAGGATTTTCAAAACAATGGTGAAAATAACGTGAGTACAATAGAACTCAGGATGAAGTAAATGAGCTGGAAGGAACAACAGTGCACACATCTCTGCTTCCCAGTAACATTTTTAAGTGACACTAAGGGTTTGATATGAGTGAGATCAGGGTATCATGCAATTTCAACCCTTAAAGAAGAATAGTACACCTCAAACAAAACAAATCAAACAACAAATTTAACTTTATACATTTTGAATATACTTTTCTCGAGTCATTGAAGTAAAATAACTGCTCTAAGCCTACATATGCAACCAAACAGAGAGAGCTAAATAAAGACCTAGCCCTATTCCGACATTCCTTTTTGTTTTCTTCCCAAGTAAAATCCAATCACCTAAGCAAAAGCACAATGACCAAAAATCCAGCTGACAAAACCTAACAACAAAATTTCACTCAGTCTAAAAGAAATGATGAAAGAGCTAGCTAAAAGATCAAATCTTTAACCAAGGAGAAAATACTCACTCAAATCAACATCAGAAAAAAATAATTATCAGGAAGAAAATTAAACAACTCACGTTGCTGCCCTTCCAGGTCTGGTAAACTCGGAGTTCATCCGACCCCTTTGCGGATCCAGATAACAAATCGGATCTATTAGGAGGAGGAACCACATACATGTTTCCTTTTCCCCCTCAAAAATCCCCCCTCTAGCTGAAATCTTTTAGCAGAAACCAGAAACCCTCACCACAAACAGATGGTTATACAAACAGTAATAAGACAACACACTGAGTCAGCTGCCGGAGACGCGTGCTCTTGTCAAACTTCCCGGCGAGCCGCTCAGCTGCGGAACCGATGAGAATTTTCCGGCACACAGGCCATGAGGCGGGGTTGCGCGTTTGGGAAGAACGGACCTTTTTTTTTATTTCTCTGTGTGAGCAAGTTGCTACTTTTTTTTTTCTGAACAGTGATATGCAATGTGAAGGTTCACGCTTTACAGTGAGGTGAAGATGATGTGGCGACTCCCTACTGGATTAACGGATGGATGGGTCCCGCATTGGGGTTTGGTTGTGGACTGGTTTTTCTCTTCAATAAAAATCATCTCATGTTTATTTTTGCCTCCAACAGTCGTAATCATGTGCTTAGCTTTTTTCAATTCTTTTTCACATAATTAACTTTTTCCTTGTTATTCAAATAATTCTTTTAAAAGAAATAAAAAATTATAAAAAATTATCATTGATTCACATAAATCTTTATATTAGCGTTAATTATAATTATTTTCTCGCGGTCCATGCAGCTTAACGATAAATAAAAAAAGTGTTTAAAACATAAAATGTTTTTATTTGTTCCAACAAAAATAACCAAGCATAAAGGTGTCTTTCCCCTCTATTGATTTCCCCAATTCTTAATTCTGTTTTTAATCTTTTTCTGCATAATTTACCTTGTTTGCAGAACTAATAGTTAATTATCTTTATAAAAGAATTTAACCAAAATAGTGCCATATCGGTTCCATGGTGTAGTGGTTAGCACTCTGGACTTTGAATCCAGCGACCTGGGTTCGACTCCCGGTGGGACCTTTTTTTTTGTTTAGTAAAATTCTGAAGGAAGGAGTATCTCTATCTATTGTCTCTGCTCAATTGTGTTTGTGTAGTGTGCATCATTTTGCCTTAATTTCTTCTAAGCACTCTGTAATTTCATCATCAGTTATGTTCCATCGGCAGCCACAAAGGTAAAGATCACTTGCTTATTGATGTGAATCCATGACTCAGAATTTACAAACATTGCACTGAAAATGGTGAAGATTATAAAAAGAAAATTCATGTTCAAAGCAACAGAGACCATACAGCAAATTAAAATGCAACAAGTTGAAAGTAAAATAAATGAAACTTAAATTGCATCCTTGTGTGATATAAAATGATAAGGCCAGCTACATAGCAGCTACTACAAATGACACCCAAAACCCAAAAAAAACTATAAACACAAATCATCTGGGTAAATCAATATAAATTTACGGTCACGTCCAACTAACCTAACAGCGATCTATGCATACATTTCTCCACAACCGAAAGAAAAACAAGATTAATCAACTAATCACTTCCAAATTAACTTTCTCTGGCCCCTCATTGCTTCTTCCTTCCCATCGGAGTCACTGTCCCGTCAAAAAGCTCGTCTATATGCGTCTCTATATCCTCCGCCTGATACTTAACATACTTCTCCATCTGCCTACCTGGCGTAAAAATCTGACTGTACCTCCCCAAAAACGACCTGTAAGCCGGTATCACCATATTCGATATCGACACTCTCAGCTCCGACTGTAGCTGCTCGTCCCCCACCACCCATCCGCTCTGCGTCTTATGTATCTCGTCAAACATCACATTGAAGCTCTTGAACCTCTCCTTCAAAACCGGCTTCACAACTTTCCCGTTCACCGTCAGCCCCTCCGGAGTTAAACACCCGAGCAGCTTCCCCCAAGTCTCCCTTTGGTACCCTTTATGGTACTGCCTCATGTCAGACGATTTCCTCCGGTACCACCCGTCACCTATCAACCCGTTTACTTCTTTACCCTTTATCTTTTTCAGCATGTATCGACCATTGTTCATCATGAATATCGACTTGAGCGAAGCATCCTTGTAAAGCCGCGCTTTCCCTTCCATGTTCGAGTCGAGCAAGTCAAGCACTTTCGTCACTTGCGTCTGGAGACCCGATTCCCCAAACACTTGCCCGAGCGTGTTCTTGTACTCGCACGCGTACTCAAGATAGTTCATTGTGTATTTAGTCAACGGGTGGACGGCCCCACCGGGAACCTGCGATTTACCCGTGTCGGACTTAATCGAGCTCTCCAGCTCCGCGAATATCAAGATCATGGCTTCCCCGAGCCGGCTACGGATCGTGGATGCCTCGGTTTTTATTTGATTCAGCATCTCGTCTGGAAATAGGGTGTCGTCGGGAGGGAGGTCGTCACGCAGGGCTTCGTACACGTCGATGAATTTGAAGAGCTTCTCGGCCGCGCGCTTCGTGAGGGCGACCGCCTGCGCGAAGTTAAGTAGCTGAGCCAAGACCTCGTGTGCCACGCTTCCAAAGAGGTCTTCGGAAGCTTCCGAGAACACGGCGTCCGAGAGCTTCCTCTCCAAAGGGAATTCGGTTGACGTGAACTGGCGGAAGATGCGTATCCACGACTCGATCTCGCGCTCCAACGTTTCCCATTTCATCTTGTGGACAACGTCGTCGATGCTGTGTTTTCCAAAGCCGAGCTTGTGGAGCCTCTCTTCGAGAAAGTTACGCCTCGCTACGAAGTACACGTGGCGGCACTCGGATTCGTGTCCCCCAGAGACCATTGCCTTCGATATTCGGATTAGGTCCGACAAGACCTGATCCGAATACCCGCATACAACAATGTTGTTACTGGTCTTGATTGTTTCCTCTTTAAGTTCTATATCTGCGTCCTGATTCTGCAGATTCGGACTCGGATCGTTTGCCTCCTGATGATCCTCGAGGAGAGACTTGAACTCCTCCTCGAGGTACAACATGGCGCATTGCAAGACACCCCCAACGATGTTGATGGAGCATGTGTACTTATCCTCGGTCGAAAATTTCATGAGCTCATTTGATAGTGAAGAGAGACGATTAACCGACTCGATGAACGAGTCGGAATCTTCCTTAGCGAGCTGGCTCCATTTCGCGCACGGTTCGTAGTCCCTGACCTTGGCCTCGACGAGGACAACAAACTGCTCGACGCAGATTGGGACATCAGGCAGCTGGTTGTCCTCGTCATGCTCTTGTAATTGCGAGAATTTTAGCAACGAGGAGATGAAATTATCGATCTCCTCCGAGACTTGGGTGAGATCAGGCGGAGAGGATGGCTCAGGATTCGGCTCGTTGGCATCTGGGGCAGTGATGTAGTCGTAGTCCGGTGGAGATTTGGGAGATGAGACAATGTCGACCTTGCTGTCTTCTTGATCTCTCGCGTTCGAAGATTTGTTGTGGTCGTTTTTCGGGTCTTCATTTTCGTCGGTGGTGTTTTTATTGTGGTCGTCCTCCTCCTCCTCGTCTTGGGATTTTTTGGAGGCGGTTGGCTTGTCGTCTTCGGAGTCGACGGTGAATTTTTCGGGGAGGTGTGTGTGGTCTTTAGAATCCATGGAGCTTTGTGAATTGAATTTCTTTTTTGTGAAATATTTGTGAGGGAGATGAAGTTAATGAAAGTGGAAAGATGAGGAGATGGTGGAAAATTTGACCATTTGGAGAGGAAACGCAGGACAATAACTGGGCCGAATGAGGAGGAGATGGATTAATTATTGAAACAAATAAATTAGAAAATGTTGTTAAGAAATGATGTTTTAGTTGTCAAATTTAGAAAAAGAAAAGAATTGAAATGGTCGTTGGTGGTGGTTATTGTTGTGAGATGGAAAAGAGCATCATTTGTTGTGGAGACGTACGTGCATATATTTAGTATGGGAATTTTGCATGGGTGGATCTAACCTTTTTTTTTTAATCATATATTTAGTATGGGAATTTTGCATGGGTGGATCTAACCTTTTTTTTTTTTAATCAGTTAAATAAATTTATATTGATCAAAACGTAAAGTCATACAACCAAAATGACTTTTAAGAGCGTAGCGGGTAGCCACAAGTCGGTTCCTCACTCGCAAGAGAAAAAATAACGAGGACAACCACAATCCGGTTGGTCACTCGCGTAACAAAATCGTCCAAGTGCAACCACACTTCACAACAACCAACTCAAAGATTACCGAGACACCTCCTCTCGAATTCGACCAAAACACTCGGGTAATTAGCAAAGATAGATCGATAGACATGAGTCTTTTACCTTTTTAATCACGAGGCTTGGAGGTTGGCTTTCATTCTCAAAGATCAACCGATTCCTCGCATTCCAAACAAAGTACACGGTTGCCGCAAGCGCCGCTTTCTTCAATTTGGCTCTCCAAGACGTGCCTTTTCCTTCTTTTTTGGTCCATTTAAGGGCGCCCTTGAGTGTGATTGGCCTATGTCGGAGGCTCACCTAAGTTCGAATTTCACTCCATATTTCCGAGCTAAAGGGGCATTCGAAGAAGAGGTGCTTCGAGGATTCGTGTTCGACTCCACAAAGGGGGCAAGTCGGGTCTTCATTGAGGAACTCAAGGCGATCTCTCGTTTGGAGTCTATTCATCACTCCAAGCCATAAGATGAAGGAGTGCTTGGGGTGTTGCAACTCCCCCAAACAACACCGGTCCATGGCTTCTCGGTACCTTTAGGACGGAGAAAATTATAGAACTTGCTAGTACCGTCTTGTTTATCACGAGAGCTCCAAGTACGGAGAAAGCCTTCCGCACCACGAACACTACCCGCTTTCTCTATCAAGCCTTGTCGGACTTCAAAGAGAGATTTAAAGAGAGGGGAGTCATTCTTGGATACTTGCAAATCCCAAATTATTTTCTCCTTTAAGTAGATGTTATGAATCCATTTGTACCATAGAGAGTCCTTCTTGGCTTGCATATTCCAAAGAGTCCTCATGAGGAGGGCTCGGTTCCAAGCATCCAAGTTCCGAAGCCCCAACCCTCCTTCCGATCGTGGCGTACACAAAGTATCCCAAGCAACGGGGGCTTTTTTGGAACCCCATAAGTATCTCCTACAAAGTTGGATGATTTTGATGCGAACAATTCCAGGCAAGTGGAAGATGCCCATCCAAAAGCAAGCAATGCCTTGAATGACCGAATTTATTAATTCCAATTTACCGCCATAAGAGAGGGTATGGCTCCTCCACCCACTAAGTTGGCTATCAATTTGATTAATCATTTCGTTAAATAGTCTCCCAGTGATTCGGCCCGCGGTAAGGGGAACTCAAAGGTACCGGAATGGCATAGGCCCGCTCTTCAATTTAGTTTCATCAAGGATTGACTCCCGGTCTTGCTCTTTAACACCGGCCAAGTAGATATTGGACTTAAGCACATTCATTTCGAACCCCAATTTCGTCCCAAAGTCTTTTAAGCAATCCATGAGCACTTGGATTGACCCGAGTCCCCCCGGGAGAGGAGCATGAGGTCATCGGCGAAGACTAAGTGGGATATTTTTAGCTTCTCACACATAGGATGAAATTTAAATTTTGGGTCATTCGCCGTGTTGCATTTGATGAGTCTAGAGAGGTATTCCATGCAAAGAACGAAAAGGAAAGGAGAGAGCGGGTTACCTTGCCTTAGTCCGCGAGCACCTTTGAAAAAGCCTTTAAGGCTTCTGTTGATGGATAGGGAGTATGTGGGTGTGGTGACGCACTCCATGATCCACTTGGAGAAAGCCGGTGGGAAGCCTAAGCCCTCAAGCATTTGCCTCAAGAAAGCCCACGAGACGGAGTCGAATGCTTTGCGGAGGTCGATCTTGATTAAGCATCTCGGGGATACTCTTTTCCTCAAATATTGACGGAGTATGTGGGTGGATCTAACATTGATGTTAGAGGTTATGGCACGTTGTTTCGAGTCAATTATTAAAATTACCAAAAATTAAAGGGTTATATTAGTAAAAGTCATATTAAAATATCTAAGTTAGCTAAATAATATTTATAGAATGTCCGAACCTAGATTATTAGTTATTAATATATTAATATTATTTGTCCAAACCTAATTACGAAGCATGATTCTTCGCCAAGTAGGATTTTGAAGCACCAGAAGCAGCCACGTAGGCTCAGCGTATTCTGGAATTATATAGAAGGGGGATTGTTTGAAACAACATACATAAAATCTAGTGTCTTGGATTTTAACGCTAATAAAGCTTAATCAACTTTTGATATAAGATTTTATTTTGAGTTTCTAGTCCAAAATGATGAATTGATATCAAACATTTATAAAAAAACTTTTAAAACCCAACTAAACTAAAAAAAAAATAAAAATAAAAAATAAAAATTGAGGGCAGTTAATAAGGCAACTTATAAACTTTTACCCAGTTACCCTTGGGACAGTGGCAGTGGGACGTTTGCACACGTTTGGCACCAACCTACTAATCTTTTACTTCAATTCTCACCACCGCTAAAAAAAACCATCTGTCAATCTTCGGCCCAATTCCTAAAAACCAAACCCTAATTCACCCTTTCTCTTGCCCTCCGATTCTCTCCATAACATCTTTCCTCTCGATTCAAGGCGCATAAATCAAGATTCTCCAGTGGCCATATGATGATCAAGAACTGAATTGCACCATTTTCCTTCGGAAAAATCCGACCTTTTTTCTGAAGGTAAATAATACTTTTTTTTTTCAGTTATAATGTGGTACATGTTCCTATCTAATTTCTTCAGGGTTTGATTGTCTTGTTTTCCGTTTTCGTTTTCATGTTTGGTTTCTGAAGAATTATGCTTTCTTGGGTGAACTCGGGTTTTCTGCATTAGCTTGTACAAAGAATTGTGTTCTCATTTACTTGTTCTGTACTGAGAAACAGCATCTCTGGTGATCTAATTCGTAAATTTCGGCCAAGGGTTGGTAGTGAATGCCTTTCTTGCAATTAGTTATGCAACTGCTCTTTTCTGTGTGTTGCTGGAGATGAGGAAGGGGATTGCTCTTTTTAAAATGTGATCGGGATTACTCGGAGGTAATTAAATTGGTGAACCTGGATTTTGCATCGGGTTTTATCAATATCGACCACGTGTTAAAATACCAAATCACCAAAAAGCAATATCGTAAGGCTGACTATATTATCTCTTCCAATGGAATCAGTGATTGATGTATCTTTCAAGATGGTAGACCTCGTGTTACACTAAAAAGTTAATGACGCAACATGGACAATATTGTCTCTCAGTACGGAACCAGTCATCACGTGTATTAAATCAAATGATGAGCTCTGAAAATACTAGCTAGTATCTGGTAGTTGTTCTGAGTTTTGTGGTCATGCGTTTCACTTGTAGATATTTTTCTTACTTTTCTGGCCATTCACAGTATTTTGTGACCACCATTTGTGAGACTAACTATGTGCCATCCCCAATGCAAAGTGTCCGAATCTTAGTTGTGTAAGTTAGCCTTGCACATCGATGCAGTATAATGCCCATAGGTGACTATGTTTGCTGGATGCCACCTATAATCTTATTAACAGTAGTGGTCTGTATGCAGATTATTGAAGATGGATCGCAGTCCTTAGTATAACTACTTCAAATTATTAATATATTATACTCATTCAAACATAATCACAAATTTCATACGAAAACTGATGAATCTTAAACTTAATTTTCCAACATCTGAAATTGTACGGTGGACATGGAAAATTAGTTATGCATTAATGTGTTTTTTAGCCCTCCAATTTTCATCTTTCTGCAAGGTTGAAATTTGTGGCAATATCTATGTTTTTGGGCAGTTATTATTTTCTGACCCCTGTATGCGTTATGAGTGAGTAATAACATGGCTTCATGGTATACTTATCTGAATGTTTTTCTCATTCATCTTTTTTCTATAGTGGGTTTGCTGGGGACGCACTTGTTCTGACAGACATTGTGTAAGAGACCATGGGAAGTGCTTTTAATCCACACATTCTGATTGAGAAGCTGTCGAAGCTCAACAGCTCACAGCAAAGTATAGAGAGTATCCTGATAATTTTTCCAACTTGTTACAAATTTTTCCAACTAGATCAAAATGGCTCAATTAAATTCTAGTGCTTCTTCTATTAGTGAAGTTTCTAGAAAAAAAATATATCAAACGACGCAACGCACCTTGGGTCGCTATGGGAACAGCCTCCTTGTATAATTACAAGGGTAAGGTCTGCGTACAACTGACCCCCCAGACCCCAACCTGTTGGGAATATACTGGGTATGTTGATGTTGATGATGTTGATGTTAGCTCTTTATCAATTTATACAAATTTTATATATGGTTTAGCTTTTTTAATGACATTTTAGTGCCAGTTATGTTGTGTATTTGCATTGATATTTTATTTTTGCAAGACTAGATTGTTCATCTTGCAAAATTTATGATTGTCAACCACCTTGATTTTTTTTTTTTTTTTAGTAGTGAACATCTGTTTATTTATCTGCTTTCAAAAGGGAAGGGTATAGCTACCATACAGATATGGTCAAAAAATGCTTTTCTGTCTGCATGATTTAAGCCATAATCTGTTTCCTCTGTACTATTCTGGACATAAATGTGTTCTTGTTTCCTGCTTTTTTTTTTTTTTTTTTCTTTTTTTTACCTTGACACAATTAAGCTCTATCACACTGGTGCATTTTTCACATGAACAAAGCAAAACAAGTCGTGGAAACTTGGGACAGACAGTTTCATTGTGCTCCTCGTGAACAGAGGTTAGCTTTTCTGTACCTTGCCAACGACATTATCCAGAATAGCAGGCGCAAGGGTGCCGAGTTTGTTGCTGAATTCTGGAAGGTTCTTCCGAATTCCCTTCATGATATGATTGAAAATGGAGATGAGTTTGGGAAAAATGCTGCCTTGCGCTTGGTATGTCTAATTTCTTGTGCAACCGCTCAAAATTCTGCATTTACTCTTTAGTGACCTTAGTAAATGAAAATGTAAGAGGTGGTAGAAAATCGGGAAGAAAAGTTTCATCTGATAAGATTTTGTTTGTATATATGTCCTGTGTGTAAGTATACATGTACTTGTAAGCTTTTCTGGTGTGATTCTCATCTATGTCTTCCCACAATCATTCTAAGAGTTATGGATAAGATTTTGCGTCAGTAAAATGGCAGTTGTGTTTTGATAGTTGAAACTTAACTTTGCATTAAAGGAAAAAGAAATCAAGACGTGTTGTTTAGTTACTATCGTGTGAGATATGTTGAATACCATTTAAGAATCCGAATCTGGTGTGGCTTATTTTGTAACCTTAAGTCTTGCAGATCAATATCTGGGAGGAGCGAAAGGTATTTGGTTCTAGAGGTCAAATTCTCAAGGATGAGTTTGTGAAAAGGCAATTAGACAACAATAATAGGAATTTGAAACATGCTGCATCCAAACCGGTACTGTTGTCGATTTCTTTTTTTTTTTTTTTTTTTTTCTTTTGTTATTATTGTTTCTGTGTGTGTACACGGCTTGTGCACTTTACCTTTGCTAATTCCATTTTTTTACCCGCTTTTTGCAAGCAGCATTCACCCATTGCTCCTGATCACCTTTGCAAACAGTCATCACCTGGTGTGAATGAGCTGGACAAGCTAATATCTGGCTATCAAGCTATCTATAGAAGCCAATTGGATGAGGAAGCCATTTTCAACAAATGCAGAAATGCTATCAGCTACATTGAAAAAGTGGGTAAAGACATCGAGGGTGAATACGGGTTAGGTATGAGCTCCTTCTCTTATGCATATCTTTTTTTTTTATCTATCTAATTTTGGGACACTATACCCTGTGATAATCTAAATTTTTCTTGGTTCAATTTTTGTGGGAAATTTGAATTAGGTCATGTCGACAGTAGTGTCACAGATGAGCTGAAGGGGCAGAATGAGATATTGAGGGACTGCGTTCAGCAGCTAGCTGTAGTTGAATCTTCCAGAGCTAATCTTGTATCTCTCTTGAGAAAAGCTCTCCACGACCAGGTAGATCTTTTAGAAGTTTATGTTTACTCTGATTTAGTTTTACGGTTTTACCCTCTTCTTTTCCCCCAGTAACTTTTAGCCACTTCTGCTATCTACAGGCGTATAAACTGGAACAAGTCAGGGAACAACTTCAGGTAAACAAGCGTTCGTTTGCTCAAAACTGGGTTCTTTTAAACCACGTTATGTATTGTTAGGCAAAACCGTTAACCGTGAGGCCATCTCACATTTTTCAGGCAGCCCAAACACGATCTGAACAAGCAGACACTATATACAGGCAGCTGCTGGGTAGCAACAACAGCGCAGCACCACAACAAGACACAATCCCACCGAATTTCATTCCGGGACCCACCGAGCAATCATCCTCCGCTACACCGTACACTCCGCAGTCCCCGTTCCCTGCAAATCCCAACGACCCCAAATCAGCAGCCGCCGCTGTAGCTGCCAAGCTGACAGCCTCAACTTCCTCTGCCCAAATGCTCTCTTTCGTCCTCTCATCCCTCGCCTCCGAGGGCGTTATCGGCAATACTAATAATACTAACAGCAACAATAATAAAAATGATAATAATAATAATAGTCTGTTGACCAAAGACCATTTGGGCGAATATCAGTCGGAAAAACGGGCTAGGATTGGAGATGAGCACCACTTGTACATCCCCCAGCAGTCGATTGCGCCTGACGTGTCTCACGAGGCGGATGCCGACTCAAAACCTCCACCACCGTCATCTCCGCCGCCCGTGCAGCCTTTGCCGCCACCTGTGCAGCCTTATCCGGTGCCACAGTACATGCAAACGGCAATGCCCGTGACTTATCAGGTGCCAATGGTGGTGCAGCCGGGTTATGCTCCGGTGGCTCCTCCGGTTGGTTCTGTATTTTCTCCGGCGACAAATTCTTACCAGTCTTACCCGCCGCCGGAAAGTGGGTTCTACAGCCAGCCACCGATGGCACCGATGAGCCGTCAGTAGTGAGGACTTTTAGAAGTGTTTGATATTAAAGCTTTCTTTGGGATTGTTTTACACATTAGTGTGAAGTGTTTGAGATTTTTTTGTTTTTTTTTTTCCTTTTTTTTTTGTATGTTGAGGGACTTGATGGTACATAAGGTTTTTTTAGAGTTTGCAGGTGGTTTGTAATTGAGTTTCACCTAATTTGATGTTTCTTATGGAGTTAAGATGGTAGTTTTCTTATTAGCATTTTTTGTTTTTATTTCCTAATTAGTGGAGATTCTAACTAGTATGTTTAGTTATAATAATAGTTACTTTGTTTTTACTTTTTAAGCTGTATTTGGGAATTATAGAGGAAAAAGTGATATGCAAGTAGTAATTTTTTTTTTTTTTTTTTTTAATTTTTTAACGAGATTAATATTGATGGAACAAATAAAAATAGTTTGTACGTTGTATTTATGGCTGTAGGTGTTTAGTCTTGGACCGGTGGTGCCTAGAAAATTAGAAATACGGTTCACTGTTGATTGACTTTGTTGGAAAGTGTAGGGAACCCCCCAGGTCAGGTACACATTAAATTAATTAAAATTGACACTTATGTCCCACGAAAAATAACTTGACAAATTCTTGTTAATTAAATCGAAACTTATGTCCCACAAAAATAAATTCACAGATTTTTATATGAACAGTAGTTTAATTGTTAGGCAAGTGGTTTGCCACAGTTTATGATTAAAAATGTATACTTTGACTATCAAGTGTTGTTTATGCTGTTTATATTATTAGTATAACATTTTTGTAATGAATGTCTTATCCCTCTCTATGTATTAATCCAAAACGTGTTAAGCCTAGATGATAGATTCTCACGTTTCAGATGCTGATATGGCGAAAATCTATGTTCCGTCGTGAGGTTGTTTTTATATCATTTTTGCTCTTGAGTTAGGTTTGATGTTAGACATAAATAACTTTTATTATTTATTTCTTAACTCAACACCCGTGTTGTACATACTAGTGTATATTTTATAATGAAATGAGTATGTAAGAAAGATGAGTATAATATTGGCCGGCCCATCACATCACAAAAAATTAAATTAATTAGAAGCATGCATGGAGAGTTAGTTGAAGGCATTAAATGTTTGAGACATATATTATATATATGTATGTCTACTGTCTACATCCTATGAAGAAATTAAGAGTGATGAGATGCCCGCCATATTCTTCAACAAATGCATCCACATTTTAAATGATTTTTATTTATTTATACACACACATTTATTTTATTTTATTTTAGGACACAGTTATGACATCATCATCATCAT